TAGATGGAGCATTTCTGGGCTCTGTGATTGTAATTGTTCTGGTGTGTCCTGAGTGGGCAGGCTGCAGCCCCAGGGCAGCCAGAAGGGCAACTTGGGCATCTGTCCTCCAGCTGCACCTGCACCATTAGTGACCACACAGTCCCTGGCTGCAGCTCTGTGAGTCCCAGCCTCAGCTACCTGCCTGTGAGGACTCGATTCCAGCCTGCTTTCCAGCCCTCGGGACACAGAAGCATATGTGTTTTCTCACTGGGCCTGGGAGGGGACCTCTCCCACATCTTTTCCATCCCAGCAGGGAGAATTCCTTTCCCAGGGAGAGGATGAACCAGGAAGGGCCGGTTCGTTCTAGATTATACCCTCCAGGGTGATAGCAAGTGGAGTCCAGCGAGCTTCCCAGAGGTCCAGGGAAGAGGGGCCAGGAGGCCAGAGTGTCTGCCTTTGACAAGGAGTGAGCAGGTGGCAACACACAAACAGAGGAAGTCCGTGATTAAAAGAATGGACAGGACATGGCCCCAGAGCCACGGGGTGAGAGAGGCCCTGGCTGTGGAGACAAGACCTGGAAATTACTCCTTAGGAAGAGGTGGGGGCAGGGCCAGTCCTGTCTACGTGGGGCTCCGACCACCACCGTTTCCTGGCGAGAACAAATGCCTCCGGGCCACAGGAAACAGCCCCGTGGAAGTGTGATGAATCAGGAGGGGAAGACGCTTTGTAAACCCCAGAATTCTCTACAGATGCTGTTTGTCCTCACTCTCCTTCCAGGTGTTCCCTTTGGAAACCGTAGCAGGTGGTACGGCAGGTGCGACAAAGACGTGGATGCCTAGAGTTAGAAAGAATGTTGACTTTGGGAGTGGGAGAGGGTGGATGTGGATTCTTGGAACAAACTCAGCTCAAACCCACCCCCAACCCCCTACCCTATGGGAAACAGCCTGGGAGTCATGAGCTGCCTCAGACCCGTACAGATCCCCCCAGGCCTTGCCTGCCCCTAGGGAAGGCCTGGAACAAGCAAATTATTTTATCAGGAGGAGAGCACCTGTTTCACTCATTCTTTTATTCCTTCAACCAGTGTTTATTGAATATCTATTGTATGCCAGGTCCTGTAATAAAAAATGTGATTATAACTCTGGTAAGGACCATAAAAGAGATGTACACAGTGCCAGAAGGGCCTATAATCAGGATATATAAGATATATAATCAGTTATAGAAGGGCTTATCATTAGGATAACAGATCTGATAAAACCGAGGAAGAGTTGCTAATGAAGCTGAGTTCCAAAGGACGAGTGGTCGTAAATTATATAAACAGGAGTAACCCAGCTGAAAGGAGTGGTCTGTGCAAAGACCCCGAAAACAGAGAATCGCCTGTGTATTGGTTAGCTTTTACCGCATAACAAGTTACTCTAAAACTCAGTGGCTAAAAACAACCCACAATTCTGTGGGCCAGGAACCTGGCTGGTTTCAGCCAGGGAGTGCCAACAACCAGGTAACGTTGTGGCTGAACCTGGCAGAGGCGCTCTTGTGCATCTGTGTGGAAGGGCTGCCCACTGGCTGGGGCTCTTTGGTTCTTCCCCTCTCAGTCTGTCCTTCTCCAGCAAGCTGCCGTGGCCTCCTTCCCAAGGCAGTGCAAGGCAGCCAGAAAGGACAAGCTTGGAAGCTCGGGTACTTTTCACGTCTCTGCATCCATCCCATTTGCTATCGTCCCATTGCCCAAAGCAAGACACATAGCTAAGCCCAGAGTCAAGTGTGAACAAATTGTGAGCTGGAACTACAATAATTTACCTGTGTGTGTGCAAGGAATTGAAAGAAAATGGGGAAACCAAAGAGTGGAGAGAAAAGAGGAGTGTGGCTCAGGAAAAACCAGAGGTGGGTGGGAGCCAGGCCATGCGAGGCTCCCAACAGCTCAGAGAAGTGGGTCTTTGCCCTAAAAGCAGGCAAGCCCTCTGGTCTCTGATCCCCCATCTTGTATGTTTGGTCAGCGTAAATAAATCCCTGAAGGCTGAACTGCCGTATGTGAACTAGTAAAATGGATCTTCTAAGCTTCAGAAGTAAGGGGCTGGATGTGGGGCATGGTCCACCCCACACATCTCTGCCCACAGCCCACACAGATGTCAATGCCCATGCCTTCCTACCGCTGTGCCCCAGCACCTCTTTGTCCCTCAGCTGCGAACAATCTTCTCACATCCCACCGAGGGCCAGTTCCTATCTCCCAAGACTCAGTTCAGGCACCACCAACTCAGAGAAACGCTCCCTGTTGTCTCTAAGCCCCAAGACAAGTGACACATCAAATGGCACCATGAGGCCTAAGGAATAAGCCTGGATCTCATTCTGTTGGCCTTGTGGTTTCTAAAACCAGGTTGGCGCATGGCCCAGCCCTACCTGTATGGCACACATATGTGGGCACAGTGCTTTGCCCACGCTGTAACCTTTTTATGTTTAACACCCACTAGACTATCTTCCTTTAAGGAGTGCCCATACCCTCAGGGCCCACACATAGAAAAGTCAAAAACACTTGAGTGAATGAATGAATGAATGGTTCCATCACTAAACAGGACTTTCTTCTGGAAGCCACAGTCAGTGTTATGAAAGTCTTCTGTCATGATGTGGAGGGGAGGGTGTCTTTCCAAGTAGGCCAGTGTCTTCTTCCCAATTCCAACGTAAAGCCACCCACCCAGAGGAGAAAAGGCCCCTGGGTCTGGAGCAATCAAAGGCAGGGCAATATGAGAGTGAGAGAAAGGGGCTCCTTGGGAGACAAATGCTCCACATCATTAACTGTAACAGTGTGGAGAGCAGATAGAGTGTTTGGACAGGTTCAAACTTGAGTTAAGGAGAGGGCACAGTCCTCTCATGGCCACGTGCAAGTCTCAGCTTGGAGGGCAGGGCTCTCCCAGCACAATGATAGCCAACAGCTGTCGTTGTAAGCTTGAACCTGTGGTCCGAACATGTGACCCCACGTGCCTAAGTCTGTGGTAGGCAAAGTGCGGCTCGCAAGCCACATAAGGCTCTTTGGCCCCTTAAGTGTGGCTCTTCCATGGCCTGGGCGAATCTCTTTTGAAAAAGTGGCATTAGAAGAAGTCTAAGTTTAAAAATTCAGCTCTCAAAAGAAATTTCAATCATTGTCCTGTTGTTATTTGGCTCTGTTAACTAATGAGTTTGCCAACCACTGGCGTAAGTGATATAGGCTACAAGTAAACAAAGCTTGATCAGGTGGATGTAATTGAGTAGGTTCAAAACCCACGAGAGTGTTGTAAACATCTTGACCACGCCCTTACTTTACCTCGTGGCATCTGCTATAAAATAAAGGCACGGCTTGTGGGCGTTGTTGCTATCTCTCAGAGAAGCAGTGTCCTACCGAGACCCTGCTTTCATTCTCTTGTCTGTCTTTTCTCAATCCTTCACCGCCCCCACTTAGGTTCACCCTTTGGCTGTGCTGGCACAGCACATAACAGGAAGAGAGCCAACCTGCGGTGGCCTCCACTGAAGCAGGTCTTCTCTGGGTGCTAGAACAGCTGACCAGGGGCATGTGGGAGGCACTGGTGCCAGGAAGCCAACCCACAGGATAACTCATTCACCACAAGCTGGAGAAGCAACTCCTGTGAACTAGAGCTGGAAACTGGGCCCCAAAAGTTCCAGGCCCTGCCCACCAGTCTTAACAGAGGTGTTTCCATACCAGCTTCCTGGTCTTGAAATATGAGGATTTAAATCATACTCTCCTTTTTGCAGAAAAGACAACTGAAGCCCAGAGAGATAAGCCTCTGACCCTTTGCCACTTTAAGTCAAGACCTCTCAGATAAGGACTACATTTCCCAGCGTTCTTTGCAGCTAAATGTATCATGACTGGCACTAATGTCTGTAATTTTGACGTTTTACTCACAAAGGGCAGAGGTGTGCCTCGTTTTTCTCCTTACCACTGCCCTGAGCCATCTTGGACCGCAGAGCCAAGGGCAACACCTTCGAACAATGGAGCAGTAGTAACATGGAAAGAATCAGGGTCCCTTTATATCTGGGTGCACAACCTGGGAGCCGCCATATCAGCCCTGATCAGTTTATGACACGTGCACCGCTCCTGAGAAGGAAACAAAATAGCCCATCTTGAGTAAGCTCTAAGATAGGGGTGTCGAACTCAATCAGAGAAGGGGCCAAAATCTAAAATCCAGCCTAAATCGCGGGCCGAATGGTTTACTGAACAGTCATAAACTGTCATTGTGATGGAAACGCAGCGGAGTGCAGTGATGACAGCGCGGTGCGGGCCACATTGCAAGGCCTGGCGGGACGGATTTGGCCCGCGGGCCTTGTGTTTGATACATGTGCTCTAAGATATTTGCTATGGCAGCTGAATCACTACCCTTCTAACTCATATAACAGAGGCCAGGACCCGGTTTCCTCAGGAAGCCCTGGACCACGGAGCTGCCTAATTCCGGGCACTCTTATCGTCCCAGGACAGCAGAGCTGTGGGCCCCCCCCCCCCCCCCACCCCAGAAACCAGCTGTTTTCTTGGGATAAAAGTTGGGGAAGCTGCTTGAAGCTGCTATATTGCCAAGGAAACAAGCTTGTTTGATGCTCCACCAGTGTAGACACCTGCACTAGTTAAAATGCTGAAAAACTTCCAGGCCTGGTGATAAGCAGCCACTGCCCTGACCCAAACCCTTCCTCAAATGTTCCCCTCCCCAGCTATCTTCGCCCCAGACCCATCAATGGAAAGAGTGATGCGTGGCATCGAAAGGGGTCACCAGGACCTCTTCCTGACCTCTGGACATACCGCTGGTTAAACGTTTTGAATATCACTCCTGGTTTTAAGATGCCTGGTCTCACCTGGTGAATGGGAATGAAACCCTGAATTGAGTGTGGAGGGTAATGAGGATGACGTGAGTTCTGAAAGCCAGAGACTAGTCACTGATCCCCACCTCCAACTCCTTCTCCCCTCCCCAAAGCCAGAAGCTCCTAGGCTCCCCCTCCTTCCCCACCCCAGGCCTGCCTTCACCCATGCAGCATAGCCCACAATCACGCCCAGACATTATTGCACTCGTTTATTTACAGAAATCACAGATAAAGCATTTCAATGTTCATTTAGCAAACTGATCCAGTCTTTTTTTTTTTTTCTTTTTTTCTTTTTGGCACAAAGAAATATCACAGGTGGACCCCAAGATCAATCAGAAACCCATAAGATTTATCAGCCATGACTGGTCCAGGGGCAGCCACAAGACTCAGACAGACAGACAGACAGACAGCATCGCCACAGTCTGGAAAAAATAAACAAGGTCCACATTCACCTCACAGTAAAAACCTGCTCACCGACAAGCAAGGGTAGGCAGGAGGGGGGGCAGTTTCTATGCTCCAAAGGGGGGCAGTGGGCATTGGGGGCAGGAAGTGGGTTGAGGAGGGACAGACACCATTCATAAATTAGAGAGCGGTGGCCTTTTGTTATTGACCTCTCACCTTGCAGAAGTGAGAGTGCAAAAACTACCATGCCCTGACCACTTATCCATTCAGAAGTTTCAGAAGCTGTGTGGTTTGGGGTGTCTCTCCTGGTGGGCGCCTGTGTGTATGTGTGCACATATGTGAATGTGTGAGTGTGGTGCTTGTAAACATTGTCACCATCCACACAGAGACCCAACATCCGTGTGTCTGAATAGGGTGGGGTGGGCGGTGGGCTGTTCCCCACTTCACTCCCCTCTGCCCCAGTGATTCCTGTCCAAGACATAGTGCAAATTTGAGAGACAAACAAGGCAGAGGAAGTGGGGGGGGGGGGGGGGGAGGAGAGGGGAAATGGACAAGGGGCAGGAAGGACACGAAGACAGGGGTGGAAGAGGGAGGGGGAAATAAGGCAACAGTTAAAAAACGGTCCATTTTATCAAAACCGACACCGTGAGCCCCTCACCCTCCCACCCACGAGCCCCCCGTCACGAGAAAGGGCGGAAGTCTCGCTCCTCCACCAGGCTGATGGAGGGGTTCTTGAGCTCCTCCTCCGAGGCGGCCATGCGGTAGCCCAGCTGCGCCAGCACCCGCTGGCAGGCGTTCTGGGCAAAGGCCACGATGTCATAGGAGAGGCGGAAGCGCCACTTCTCGGCCGTGGCCGCCGAGTTGCGCACCGTGCCGTACTTGTGCTTGCCCAGGGCCGGGTCACCCTGCGTGTTGTTCTGGATCCAGCGGGCCACGTGGCTGTCCAGGGGGATGCCCAGGAACCCGTAGATCTCCTCCGTCTTCTTCATGGGGTTCCTGGCCAGGTCCTCGTAGCGCACCAGCATGTACTTGCCCTTGAGCCACGCGGGCCGCGTGAGGCCCGTGGATACGGAGTTGGAGAAGTCCTCACACACTGTGGTCAGCTGGGTCACGTCCAGGTTGTAGGGCTTCCTGCCGGTGCCGTACCAGAGCCGCCAGAGCCGGTAGGTGTCCCGGAAGGTCTCGCTGCGGGAGGCCAGGATGCCCCGCGGGTCCCGGACCAGCTGGATGACCTTGAGGTTCAGCCGGGGGTCTTCCACCAGGGCCCGCAGGTCGTTCACCTCGGGCACCCGCACCGTCTTGATGGCCACGTGGCTGCGCTCCCGGCAGGCCTCGGCGGCCACGGTCAGGTTCAGCAGGCCGCACTTGCGCACGCAGTCGCCTTCCTCCAGCACCGGGTCCGGGGAGCCTGCTGGCGGGTCGCACACGGGCCGGGAGCACAGCACCCGGCTGGCCCCCCGTCGGAAGACCCTGTCGGTGGTGTGGTTGACGGGCGGCGGCTTGATGTAGTTCTCCAGGAAGTGGAGGTCACAGTCGTAGAGGCTCCTCAGGAGGTCCCGGCTGGCGCCCAGCATGACCCGCCGGTCGGCGGGGCTCCGGCCCTGCGTGAAGCGGGGGATGAGCGTGTTCTGCACGTGGTAGAGGGGTTCGAACAGGTAGAAGACGTCCAGGTGCTGGTTGAAGAGCTGGCCCACGAAGGAGGAGCCGCTGCGCGTGGTGGCCAGGATGAGGATGTGGGTCTTGCGGGAGAGGTTGTAGGGGAAGGTGGGGCCCTCCTCGCACAGCCGCTCGGCCAGGCCCGCCTCGGCCAGCCCCGGGCAGGTGTGCAAGGACTTGGCTGTGAACGTGCGGATGGCCGTGTACTGGATGGCGATGGAGGCCAGGGCGAGGAGGAGGACGGCCTTCCAGGAACATTGCATGGCTGGGCACCGTCATGGGGCTGCTTCTCCCCCTTTCGAGCTCTGCGGGCAAAGGCGGGCGGCCATCAGGGGCCAGAAGAAGAGTGAGACTCCAGGGGGGTGCAGGGAAGTCCCCCCAGCTTCCCTGCCTGGGGCTCACTCACTGCACCTAAGGCCCGAGTAGCTTCTACCGTAGGCTGCGCCATTCTCTGGGGGAGTCACTGGCCTGAACAAACCGATTCCCTGGATTCTGTTCTGCAGGGTTTAAGCAGAAGCTCTCAGTTCCTTAGTGAGTTCCTTAGGGCGAGAAACTAACTCCCCGAACCCCACATATAGGGTGTGGCCATTCCCCTGCCACCGCCTGTCGCCTCTGCTGGCATCTCCTGGGCCCACCTGCATCTTCCTTCCACCCTCACAGACGGACCCCTGTGGTCATCCTTCCTTCATCCCTGCTCACCCCCTGGAGGAAGAAGGCTCTGTGTTAGATGCCTCCTGAGCCCCATGCAGAAAGGACCCTGATGCTCTGTGAGCCAGTGAGCTGCCAGTGTCCACTCAGCCACGCCCTCTGAGGACAGCTGTGTCAACCAGCACCACCCCCTGACCTATGGATGCTGTGACCAGCTTACTCCAGAGAGGACTCCTGGGGCCCGTGGGGACTCTGAGTCACCTGGCCCAGAGCAGAGACAAGGCCGGAGGCTGCTGAGAAGCATCCTTTCCCAGGCCCAGAGTCCTCCAGGTGTGCTCCCAGCCACAGAGGGAAGCGGTCCAGGCCATGGGCAGATGACCCCCAGTGACAGCAGAACTAACGGGCCCCCCCGCCTCAGCCAGTCCTCAAGCACCCTCAGCCCCTGCTATGCACAGAGTGAGCTCGGGGACTTACCGGTAGCCCAGCAATGGTCCCAGAGAACCAGAGAGAAGAAGAGGGGGTGGACCAGAAGAAGCACCTCAAGGAAAGCATGGGGATGAGGAAAGCTGTGAAAGTGAAAGTGTGCCCAGGGTTCGGGGCAAGGAGCCAACCTGAACATCTAGAAGTCCCCCCAAAAGAGCGGCTAGTTCATCTGGAAGCCCAGGGTTCGGGGGGGCGGGGGGAAGAGCTGGGGCTGCTCCAAGGGTAAATGCAGGGAGGGACCCACCACTCACCAAAGAGGGGCTGCTCCGAGCTGGGGAGTCCACAGCCGCCAGGTCTCCTGTGCAGCAGCTCTGTGGCCAGCAAACTGCAGAGACAGGGAGAGGAGGGGGCCTGTAAATGGGGTTGGGCTCCCAGCACCTCCCTTCCTACCCCTGTCCTATGCTCTCTACTCACTCCCCCCTGACCCTCCAGGCTGGGTGATGAAGGTGCTGGCTGCTCTCCCATATCTATCACTGACTCAGGGCTCCAAATAACCCAGCGCCATCTCTGACCCCTGCATCCAGACCTCTGAGTCCTGGCTACATCATACCCCTCCTCTCACTTCCCCCACCTACCTACCCATGCCCTCCTAGCCAGCCACAGTCCCTCCGCTCACACCAGAACCCAGTGGGCAGAGAGCTGGCAAGCTTGCACCCCTGGCTGACCAAGAGTTGGTACCCCACATGGAAAAACACCCCCAGGAGGCACCCACACACACTCATCATACAATGGAGCTGCAAAGAAATCCACTGGCCACCAACACTCCCAGCCTAGCCAATTCTGTCCATTCAGCTCTGGTGGCCAGACCCACCCAACCGGCCTCAGCACTCAGCCTCTAATGATGGAACAGAATGTCAAACTTATCCCAAAAACTGGGCTGGCGTGCCACCCCAGCTGGTTCTGCATTTTAAATCAATAGAACAGCCTGACCTTTCCAATTCCAACTTGTTCAGTAACTACCCAGGAGGGGGTTAGTGGGAATCAGCAAGGGCGGGAGGGTGGGGAGGAGGGGCTCACCTCACACCTCCAGGGGGGCGGGTGGCAGCTCAGTGGCAACAGCCCGGATGCTGGGCCCTGCGGGAAACGACAGCCGGGGCGGGGGAGGGTCTTCCACCAACCACGCCCGACAGAGAAAGGCTACCTGAAACTCAAAGCAAAAGGAAACGTGACCTTCATGCTCTCCAAGGACTCTAAGTTAAAACACCGAGATCGTAGCATTGCTTTAGCTAGCATCTATTGAGTGCAGCCTACGTGCTAAGCCCTTTATACCTGGGAGCTCATTTATTCCTCGCAAGAACTTCATGTGGAAGCTGGTATAAGCTTCATTTCACGGGCAGCTGAGGCACAGGGAGCGGAGCTCACGTCTAGGTTAACCCACATCTAGCGGGTTCCCCAGAGCCCACACTGTTTTCCCTCGAAGGAGATTTGACTTCCTGTCCCTCCAGCTTACACATACTTGGCCTTCAAACATGCATTGGATCAATGTCCCCAGCCCATGTGTGAACCGGCAAGAGAGGGACTGGACGTTAGAAGGGGGCAGACATCTGCCTGCGGCTCAGCATGAGACAGGCACTACGGGTAAAAGCACGAAGGAAGGCGAGCCCTTACTGGGCATCCATGATGCTTCTCCTGGGCACATGCTCCCTTCACAGGCAGCAGCGCATCTCACCCTCGTGCCAACCATGTAAGACTGATGCTGTAATATCCCCATTTTACAGATAAGGAAGCTGAGGCTCTGAACGGTTTGATAAATGTCTAGCAGGGGGGTAGAGCCAGGATTCCTTCCAGTCCAGGCACTGTGCTCTGGAGCCCATGTTCAAATCCTCCTCCCTGATCCCTCTTCCACTCACATCCCACCCCCCGTGGTCCTCACCCGGACGGGAAACAGAGGCCCCAAGGAGATGTCATTTAACTATAGGATTCCAGTTCCAGAAACAGAATAAAGAGGAGCATGCTGCGAGGAGGGGACCATTTCAGTCTTTTCCTTCCCCGCCCCCCCGCCCGGAGAAACTTAAGGCAGGATTGGAAGCTGCTGCCTCTGCTAATAAAGCAGAAGTAACGGAAGCTTCTCCATGTTATAAATCCCTAAGCAAGTGGGACTCAGATTCATAAGGTGCAGCCTGGGCATCAAGGAGGGGAATGCGTTCAAAGGCCCCACTGCCGGCCATCGCCTTTCCCCGAGAAGGGCAACGCCAGGGCATGGGAACGGCAGGATGGAGGAAGCCGGCCCTCCTGGAAATGCCCCTGCTGTCCTGCCGGCCTGGCAGAGCAGGGGCCAGGGCTGGCCAATCCTCTTGGTATGCTGGAGGCATGCGCCCTGAAAAACAGAGGCCCCGGGACCAGGTCCCATTGTCCCCAGGGGAGCTTTGATCGCTTCAAGGGACTCTGCCAGGCCCTCCGCCTCCAAGCCAGACTATGAGCCTCAGGTCACCTCCCTGTGCGTCTGGCATCCTCTGGCACAGCCTCCCTCTACCTCTGGTTAGTTGAAATCCAGGCAAATCTTAGACCTAGAATCTGTAACTCCGGTTGGAAGGTGGGAAACTTGGTGAACTCCCCATCCCAGCAGAAAGCTCAGATTTCCGTATCAGCCACCTTAATATTAGGGCCCAGATTATGGCATGGTGGGGGAAGGGGGTGAAAACACCTCCCCAGGGGAGAACTATAATTCCGAGCCAAGAGCTCAAGCCATGGAACCTCACTCACTTAGATGTCACTTAGCAGGTGTGTGGACCCGGGGGACTCACTGTCTCCGAGTCTAGGTTTCCCCATCTGTAAAGTGGGTCTCATCATAGAATCGAAGAACTTAAAGCATTTAATCAGTGCCAGGCATAGAGTATGGCACAGCCTCAGGCTTAGGACGTGGACTCTGAGGGAGAGTCCAGGTTTGATGGCCAGGTTTCTTAATCTCTCCTTGGCCTCTGTTTTCTCACCTGCAAAATGGGGATAATGTTAACAAGGCTGTTGTGAGAATTCCTTCATTAATAGTGTCTAGCATAGAGTGAGCACTCAATGAATGTAACTGACCATCATCATCATTCAATGTAGTATTTGGTTTTTATCTCGAGGTACACCTCAGAACAAATCATCACTGACTGCGGCACACACTCTCCCTGACCACTGTGCCCAGACCTCTGCCAGGAGGTCTCTGCCCACCACCCCTTCCTCAGGGGCTTCTCTTCCAGCCCCGCTACCTTCTCATACTGAGCTACCGCAATGGCTCTCCTGCTGCCCTCTAGTGGTCATACCGTGTAGTGCAGCTCTTAGTCCTGTGTCTTTGCCAGTTGAGAATTCCTGCCTGTTTGGCTGCAGCTTAATGTGAGGAGGCAGCCAAAGGGAGGTGAGGTTGCAGGATGCAGTTAGGTGTGATGATTACACGCCCACCCCGGCTGTGGTCTCTGCTCTGTGCACCCCCTCTTCCTTATCCACATGCCAAAAGGCAAGCAGCAACAGGCAGCCAAACCTCATCCCGTGGGCCTCTCCTCCCTGGTCTCATTCTGCTCTGGCAGGGGAGGGAACACTGAACTGTCACAGACGGGCAGGGGCAGCCCACAGCCTCTGCCTTTCCCTGGCCTGTGATCTGGTACGCGTCCCCTGGTCTTTGTGCCTCGGTTTTTCCACAGGAGGTCCAGCGACTCTAAGGGCCTCCCAGATCTATCCTCGCCATTTCTGATCCAAGGAAGGCCCCATACTCCACTCTCAGAGTCAGGCCCACTCTCACTGAACACAGGGGACCTTTCCTTGGGAGTAAGGCCCCTGGCGTCTTCCAAGAAGATACCAGATCTGGGCAGCCCTCCCACCTCAGTCCGGCCCACAGCTGTCCCAGGGGGACCCAGAAACAAGGGGCTCTGCCCTCTGCTGCATTTGCACCACCCTGCCCCCAGCCTCATCCCTTCCTGCTCCACCCCCACCCCCATGAAATCCCATGCAACCCAGAATTATGACTCTGCCTTTTCTGGGCCACAAACTCCCTAAAGAGATACAGTCCCTCCTCCCAGAAAGACCCATTTGTGCCCACAACTTTACACACATGATTGGAGAGGGTAAGCCTCTAGGGAAAAGAAGGGGCGCCCATGAGTGGGCTTTAGGAGGTCCAGGAAACTTCTACTAGTAGCACTCTCCCAACTCCAGGACTTTCTTTTCAATGTACTCCATCAGCGAAAGCGCCACACACATTACCCGAGTTATTAACTAAACAACGAGGGCCAGAAATCCATGTGCAATGTTGCATCGCCATTGCTGACTTCTGAGCAGGGGTGTGTGTGTGTGTGTGTGTGTGTGTGTGTGTGTGTACATGTGCATAAACAACTACTGAAAGAACTTGTGCTGAGCCAGTGAGGAACGGGGGGGGGGGGGGGGGGGGGGGGAGGGAGGTGACTAGGAGACAGGGATACGAGAAAGGCACAGTTTACACTGAGCTTTTGGTTCAGTTTGAGTTTATTAACTTTGGGGGATGGAGTGAAGCCACCCGTGTAAGAACTGAGGACTAATGACAGGGTGGGGCTCCAAAAGTCAGCACTGGCACCTCCCTGTGCCAACTTTTCTGTCCCCCGGGGGCATTGCCAGCCAGCTCTCTCCTCCCCATTTCCAAGGCACTGGGGTCAGAGTCACCACCCCTCTGCCAGAATGGGGCTCTGTCTGCTCAGACAGGCACTGAGGACAGCAGTCAGCCGGGGCTGCTGAGACAGAGCAGGAGCTGAAAAGGAGGGAGACCTCAGAGGGGACCTGGTTTGTGAAATGACTGCCCTCCCAGCTTTTTCTCCCTATAAACAGTTTGTGATGCTCTAGGGAGGTAGGGAAAGAAAAGAGAAAAAAAAAATCTATCGTTTTTCTAACCACATGCAGGAGCTAGTATGATGGGCCTCAAGGCTCTGGGGTCCCTGGAACTGGAGCAAGGAGCAGGGGAAACTGGGCAGGGAGGGAGGAGTTGGCAAACAGACCTCTGGGATGGGGACTACTGAAAGGAAATGCATAATCCCTATGTCTGTAATAGCCAGCAATGACCCGCTGTTTGTTTGCTCAAGACTAACACACATAAAACAAGGTTTTTTTCTTCCTACAGAAAATGAGGTGATGAAATGAGGAAAGTAGAAGACAGGGATAGGAAAGTGAAAGAAATAGGAGTCAGGTCAGTGTGCAAGGGCCAACCTACTTCTGGGCTTCACATATAGGTCAGAGCTACCTGGCAGCCAATGGGAAAAGGGAAATATTTCATTGATATATTTCAGATTAAAGCATCTGCTCAGGAGACACCCAGCTATTCTGGTACTGAATTCAGCATGAAATTTCTCCTGAAGGGTCTCCTAGGGAGCCCCGAGCATGTCTTCCCGTCCTCCAGACCCCAAGCCTAATGAGCCCAAGGTCAAGTTTCCTGGGGCAGTGTCCTAGAGCATCCTTCAAGGTGAGCAGCGTGCCAGCACATAATCCTGCAGGTGAGGCGATCTGGTGTCCAGACTTAGCCTCGGAGGCCTGGGTCAGCCCACGGAGCCTGGAGGCATGAGTGCTTCCCTGTCGGGTCATGCCCCTGACACTGTGATGTCTACAGATATTCTCCCCAGAATCTGCACTGACACGAACATGGTGTTGTGTTGTACAGTCTCTAGAGACCCTGGCCCCACGGCCTATCCACACACCCCACAGACAGAACCAGTACATCCTTCAGTGACTCCAGTGGGGACAAGTTCTCACAATCCTGGTTCCAAAGAAAAGCACAAGGAGGGGCTGGCCCGCTGACTTCCCAGCAGCAGCAGCAGCAGCAGAGCTCCTCTGCTGCCTCCTCTGAGCTCCTGTGCCTCCAGAGCAGGTCACTCCAGTGCCCACATGTGATGACACTGGGAACACTCGTGCATGGGAAGAGGCAGGCTGGGTGGTGGCTGGGTCCGGACTTGACTCCCACTGCTGTGGCTTTATCGCTGTGAACCCCTGGTCAAGGCACCTGCCCTCTACAGGCCTCCGTTATCTGTGAACACGTTATCTGTCGACCACAGAATGTTTCAAAGAGTTGGGTTGTGAGACAGAAAGCGGATGAATGCCAACAGCTGAGCACAGTGCTGGGCACCGAGCAGTACCCAGGAAGTGGGAATCCTGAGCCTGACTTTTAGGGGATACTTTAACCTGCAAGCAGGGAGCAGTGGCCTGGGAATGTTGAAG